CAGCACAGTGGGCCAAGTTTCCTGTTTCCCCAGGTATAACACGGAGATAGACATCAAGGGGCTATTTAAAACCCACCGCCATCGAGGCGACTCACAGTGACCTTTTGGGAGAGTAGAACCACCTCACGGTTCCCAAGGCTGTACATCTTTACGGAAGCAGACTGGCACATCTTTCTCCTGCAGAGGGGCTGGTGGGTTTGAATCGCCAGTTTGCAGGTGAGCACTCTAACCACTGTGGTACCAGGTTGGGCCTACGGTCAGGAAGCACTTTCTGGGCGGTAGCACAGATGGATTTTTGTGAAACCTGGCACTTCCGGTGCAAAAATGGGGAAACTGAGATACATGTCACCATGGACGGGGTTTATAAAAACGAGGGTTCAGACAAAGGCCCCTCATCCATCTGGCTTTGTCCCTTAGCATCCACAACTGGGCATGTCCCTAGCTGATGCCCTTCCCAGGGTCACGGATGCCCTGTCAAGGATGCAGCTGAGATGTGCCCCACTCAGGATCTGACTGGCTTTTATTTCCCCTGCTTTTAGCAAGGAGGCCTAGGGTCACTTTGGTGCTGTGAATTGCTTAATATAGCCCCTTCTAGCCACAGTCTTTGTAACTCCTATCAAATGACTAGGTGGGACTACGCAAATGTGAATGCATGTGGCCCACTAAGGGGACTGGATAGCTTGCTAATTATGTAAACACGGTGTACGGTATCCTAACGGGATGGACCAGTTTTGCCGTTTTGCTTAAAATAAGCCATCCCAGAGGAGGAAAGGGGGATCTCACTGCCGTCAAGAGAGAAAAACCTGGAGTGGGGTGCATCCTTGTGGACTCGAGATCCCTTTGATCCAGGAAACAGAGAGAGTAACTTTGCTGAGATGGTGAGAGGATGGGAGACGGTGAGAAGGGGCAGAAGAACCGTGGTGGCAGAGGCAGCAGAAGCGAGATGAGAGTGAGACAGAGCAGTGGGCTTCCCGGCCCAGGGGCAAGAAAGCCGGGTGTCCCGAGTGGGCCTGCTGGTGGAGCAGCCTTCTCTCTGGGCACCTATCAGCAGAGCGGAGAGGCTGAGGTTCAGAGACAGAGGCGTGCCCCAGGACACCGCGAAGAAGAGGCTGTCCCCATCAAAGACCTGTATCCAGAGTCATTTCTGGTCCTGAATTGTAGCCTGTTACTTCCCTAGTAGTGCACTGATTGTGAGTATTGTCTGTGAGTTCTGTGTGAATAGATTACTGAACCCAGCACAGAAGTAGAGAGTCCCATGGGAAGGGCAGGTGGTGTAAAAATTTGGTAAAAGAAAGTTGGGGGGTGGCATTTCTGGCTTCCACCTCGTAGCAAGCAGCCTTTACCAGACATCATGTTTGGTAAAGTGGAGGGCCAATGAAAATGAGAGAAACCCTCAGTGAGATGGAGGACACAACAGCCAAAATAATGGACTAAAAACACACCAGTGATCATGAAGACGGAGCAGGATCGGGCAGTGTTTCATTCTGTTATACATAAGGTCACTATGGGTCACGGCCGGCTCCACAGCAACCAACAGCAACACAATGAGGCCTCTGCATGGGCATGGCATTGGCTGGTCTGTCTGCAGTGCCATGTAAGACCCCTGGCTCTTGGATCCCCTGGAATTCCTGTCAACCTGGCAGGTGGGCACTGAGCCCGATTTAAGTTTTCCACACCATCTTGGCTTCAGATGGTAATTCTTTTTGTAAGAGAAATCTAGTATTTCTGGTAAGGGTGACAGCTTCTCACTCCAGTCTGTCCCTCTGTCTCCCCAGAGACCATCACTCTCATGAATTGTTCTGCTCGGTTTAAGACATATCCAGAAATAGGCTCCCACTGTATCATTCCACAATTTGCTTTTTTTTTTTTTTTTTGGCTCAGCATTGTTTGTGAGAACTGTCCATGTTAATTCGCAGATTCTAATTTATTCATCTAACTGCATTATGCCATTAGAGGCATATGCCACATTTTATAAACCTTTTCCCCTGCTGATGAATGCTTGGCTATTTCCAGTTTTTTGCTATTACAAGCACTGCTGTAATAAACAGCTTTCTGCTGGAATAAACGTGAAAAGAAGACAGTGAGGACATAGGGATGCACATTTCCAATTTTACTGGGTAGTGCCAACCTTCTCTCCAAAGGGGTTTCCTGACTGTCTTCTAAAAACACTACGGAAACACATCCTCCCACAGTGGGGTCTCTGATCCACTGGAACACATTGTTTTGTTCAAGGTTGAGGTCAAGGCCCAATTCATTGTTCTTCACATGGAAAACCAGTGGTACCTGTACTTTAGCCCAGAAGCCCACCTACTCCAACCATGCATGGTGTAGGGGCACTCCCTCACTTTCCGTTACACCTGGGGTCTGCTTCTGGAGCCTGGTGGTATCTATCTGATTATCTTGTAACCACTTTATTGAGATACAATTCACATATCACACAATTCACCTATGAAAAGTGTACAGTTCAATGGTTTTCAGTATAATCACAGGGTTAATGATACTAAAATCATCGCTATCTAATTCTCTAACGTTTTCACCATCCCAAAAAGAAAACATGGACCTATGAACAGTCAATCCCCATTCTCCTCTTTCTTCAGCCCCTGACAACCACTCATGTAACCTTCTGTCTCTATGGATTTGCCTATTCTGGATACTTCATATAAGTGGGATCGTACAGTATGTGGCTTGTGTGTCTGGCTTCTTTCACTCAGCATCATGTTTTCAGGGTCCGTGTATGGTATAGCATGTATCAGAACTTCATTCCTTTTTATGGCTGAATAATTATTTTATATTGACAGGGAACTTCCAGAAACGCAAGCTGGATTCAAAAGAGGACGTGGAATGAGGGGTATCATTGCTGATGTCAGGTGGATCTTGGCTGAAAGCAAAGAATACCAGAAAGATGTCTACCTGTGTTTTATTGACTATGCAAAGGCATTTGACTGTGTAGATCATAGCTAACTATGGATAACACTGCAAAGAACCTGAATTCCAGAATACTTAATTGTGCTCACAGAACAAGGGGATACTAAGTGATTTATGGTCAGGAAAGGTGTGTATCAGGGTTGTAGCCTTTCACCATATTTAGTTCATCTGTATGGTGAGCAAATAATCTGAGAAGCTGGACTATACGAAGAACACGGTATCAGGATTGGAGGAAGATTCATTAACAAACTGTGATATGCACGTGACACAACTTTGCTTGCTAAAAGTGAAGAAGACTTGAAGCACTTACTGATGAAGATCAAAGACTACAGTCTTCAGTAATGGATTACACCTCAACATAAAGAAAATAAAAATCCTCACAACTGGGCCAATAAACAGCATCACGATAAATGGAATAAAGATTGAAGATGGCAAGGATTTCATTATACTTGGATCCATAATCAATGCCCATGGAAGGAGCAGTCAAGAAATCGAAGGATATATTGCATTGGACAAATCTGCTGCAAAAGACCTCCTTAAGTGTTAGAAAGCAAGTATGTCACTTTGAGGGCTAGGTGCACCTGACCAAACCATGATATTTTCAATCACCTCATATGCACGTGAAAGCTGGACAATGAGTAAGAAAGACAGAAAAAGAACTAATGCATTTGAACTATGGTATTGGCAAAGGATACATGGACTGCCAGGAGAATGAAAAAATCTATTTTGAAAGAAGTACAGCCAGAACATTCCTAGAAAGGAGGAAGGTGACGCTTCAGCTCAGGTACTTTGGGAATGTTATTAGGAGGGAAAGTCCCTGGAGAAGGACATCATGCTTGGTAAATAGAGGGGGAGCGAAGAAGAGAAGACCCCTGACAAGGTGGGTGGACACAGTGGCTGCAACCGTGGGAACAAGCATAGCAGGGACTATGAGGATGGCACGGCACCAGGGAGTATTCCATTCTCCTGTACACAGGGTTGCTGTGAGTCAGAGCTGACTCGATGGCATGTAACACCACCATCACCACCAATATTTCATCGTGTGGATATAACACATTCTGTTTATTCATTCACCAGTTGATGGTCATTTACATGATTTCTACTTTTCAGCCATCATGAGTAGTGATGCTATCAACATTCAAAGACAAGTTTCTGTGTGGACATATGTTCTAATCTCTCTTGGCAATATAACTAGAATTGCTGGGTCCTATGGGAGCTCTGGTGGCATAGTGGCTAAGGCACTTGACTGCTAACCAGAAGGCTGGCAGTTCAAATCCACCAGCTGCTCCTCGGAAGGAAGATGGGGCAATCTACTTCCGTAGTGATATTGCCTCGGAAACCCAAGGAGGGGTCGCTATGAGTGGGGTCTGACTCGAAGGCACATAACAACAACAACAACAACAACAACAAGAACATGGGAGACCTGGTGGTGTAGTGCCTAAGGCATCTGACTGCTAACCAGAAGGCTGGCAGTTTAAGCCCACCAGCCACTCCTCGGAAGGAAGACCGAGCAATCTATTTCCGTAGAGACACTGCCTTGGAAACCCAAAGAGGGGTTGCTATGAGTTGGGACCGACTCGATGGCAGCGAGTTTGTTTCTTGCTTTGGTATGCTGACTCTGACTGCTTGTGTGCTGCGAACAGTTAACGCGTTTGGTTGCTATGAACGGCTGCTCAGAGGCACCTCCGAAGAAAAGCCTGGTGATCTGCTCTGAAAGGTCACAGCCATGAAAACCCGACGGAGTGAGCTCTACTCTGCCACATGGGGGACCGCCATGAGCTGGAACCAACATCATGGCAGCTGGTTTGGTCTTTGGCTGTGGAACTCTATGTTTAACCTCTTAAGAAGCCACTAGGCTGTTTTCCAAACCAGCTGCACCATTTTTGTGATCTGATTTAAAAAGTGACAGAAATACGACAGTGGCCAGCAGGAGTGGTATCACCAGAGTTGTGCCACACGGCAGCACTGGCCTCCCTGTGGTGTCAAGGCATCCTACAGCCTCAGTCACCTGGGCCTCCTCACTGTGCCCTCAGGCCACGCCCACTCCCACGTCTCCATCTCAACTCCTCTCTTACCTCCCTTTCTGTTGCAGCTCCCTTCTGCCAAACTCCTCCCCAAGTCCAGGGCCCTTAAGAGAGTCTGCCTATGAACTCGGACAAACACCCAAAGCTGGTGGTGGCCACCAAGGCACCTGCATTACCCATCTCCAAAGGGCCATCAGGTTCCTCTCTCCCCTCAGAACTCAGACTGCAGCCCCTCCTGGCACAGAAGGCAGCGGCTGGGAGGCACTACTCGCCACACCCAGCTCTGGGGCCCAGGATACCCCAAGTCAGTTGGCTCTCCTCCAGCACTACCACAAGCCCCCACTGATGGCGCTGGGTAGACCCTTATCTGCCTATGTGAGCAGCTGCCTGGTCCTGGTGGAATTCCTCCATCCACACAGTGTCTTGGCCATTCTGCCACATACTCCATCCTCTCCCACCTCTCTCTCAGCTTTCTCATAGTGCTTCCTGGGTCACGGGAGGCCTGGACACAGGACAAGCAGGCAACTGCTTTCTATCTCTGTGACTCTGGGAAGCCACTTAACCTCTATGGCCTCTATTTCCTCATCTGTGAAATGGAACTGGTTGTACTTAGTCCACAGAGTCACCAAAGAATCAAATAAGAGAATACACCCAAAGCATGCAGCTTGCTGAACTGAATTACTGATCGTATCATATTAGCCCACGTCCCTTGAGGTGAGGAGGAGAAGGAGGGGCAGCCTGGGGGCGCATACTCACGTTTTCACATAAGGGTCCGAGTAGCCGTTGGCATCCATGGCAGCCAGGTGTGCACACCGCACGATGCCCACCAGCAGGCCCTGCTTCTGAGAGCTGTACTTCAGGGAGATGAGGATCCGGCCCCGCTCCTCCAGGGACTTGTCTTCCGTCTTGTCTACCTGTTGGGCAGGGTGGTCACTTGGCCATCCTCACCTGCTCCGACCACCAGCCTGGATCTGGCCCACCCTCCTTGCTTGGCCAATGGGCCACTGAGGCTGTCCTCGGGCCTCCCTCCAGCTGGGTGCCCAGTGACCACCGTCCAGTTCAGGCCCTTGTCAGTGCTCCCTGGCTGTCCTCACTGGCCCTCTGCCCTGCCTCTCCTTCCCCACAGGGTATTTCTGAGACAGAATCTGACCTTGTCACCCCTGCCCATGGCTCCCGTCACCTGCAGGATAAGGCCATACACCTCAGCTGGCCTTTACAGCCCAGTGTGGTCTTGTCCGGGGGTCAGCAAACCATGGCCTGGGGTCAAATCCTGCCTCTCACCTCCTTCGGTATGGCCCATGAGCTGAGAACAGTTTTTATCTTTTTAAATGGTTGAAAACAGAATCCAAAGAAAACTATTATTTCATGACTCACGAAATAATATGAAATTCAAATGTCAGTGTCCACAAATAAGGTCTTAATGGAACAAGCCATGTCTATTCATTTTCATACTGTCAACTTTGACGCTACAAAAGCATAATTGAGTAGCTGTAGCAGAGCCCATATGGCTGGCAAGGCCTGAAATATTTATTTTCTGGCCTTCTACAGAGAAAGTGTGCTGACCTGCCTGCTTTTCCAGACTGTCTCCGGCTCTGTCCCTTTTCACAGCCTGGCTTCACCTGAACTCCCCACAAGCTCCAGGCAGGTGAGGCTGGCTCTTTTCTCCAAGCCCTCACCACTGCCAGATCCGCCACTCAGCGTGCTCTTAGAAGTCTTCACTGCTCGACACAGGCCTGGTCCTGCCTTAAGGCTCAGTCCTAGCGGCCCCAGGCTGGGGACACTGTCCTCTCTGTGCTCCCTTCCTTCAGCTCCTTCTGCCACAGCGTCAGGTCGTCAGTTGTTTCTTCACACATCTGTCTCCTACACTTTAAGTGCCTCTAAGCTGAGACTGTCTACATTACTGCTTCCCCAGGACTGGGCAAGGGTCTGGCAGGTTTATTCTAATGAAGATGAGAATGGAAGGTCAGATGGTCCCTTCTGGGTTCAGTCTTACGCCAGCAATGCCAATCTGTGGGGTTTGGAGGAAGGCTATAATGTCTACGCAGGCCACACGGAGACCGAGGGGTGGTAATGGGTCACCCTGGCCCCAGACCCCCTGAGGCTGCTTCCTGGAGTCCTGCAGGTGGCTGGGGTGGGTGGCCCGCTGTGGGAGAACCCAGAAGATGGACCCTTGACATGTTCTCAATGCCAAGGAGAGCTGGGAGTGGTGGAGAGCCGCCCAGCCCTTTCCTGCCTCAGGAGCTGCCCAGTGCCCACCTCTGGGGTCAGAGCTCATCTGTAGGCCTCAGAGTCTGGCACCAAGTTTCTCCATCTTTCGCCCCCTGAGACCATCTATTTCTGCTCTCTAGTTGCTGCTCGTCTAGAAGCCCCTCTCCTAACACTGTCTGTCCACCCAGCTTGCACCATGCCTTCCCCAAGGGCCCTTCCTCAGGCTGTTCTGCCAAACTTTTTGAACACATGGTCTCAGCGGTCCCTTTACCATGACTGTCCTCTCCCTAGGACTCAAGTGATTCCCCACGTGGCCCCCACATAGGCAGGGCCACATCTAACCTCCCTGGAGATGGGACTCTATGAGGTATGACTGGCAGGAAGGACACATGCACTGTTCATGGCCACCACTCCCTAACTCCCACACCAGAGCAGACATGACTAATCAATCACAGCATTTGCCCCACCTCAAATGCAGCCTCAGCACCTTTTCCAACACGGCTCAGGCAGCCATTACCAATGGATCAGACTAGACTGTGAGATTTAATTATCTGCCTCTCTGGCTGAGGGCTTTGTATGTGAAGGCTTCACTAAACTGTGGCTCTGTGTTAGTTTGTGTATTGTAAGAAAATTAAACAGTATAAATGAGCAGGGATATTTTCAGCCCTCTTTTTAGGGTGGAATATTGTACTTTGTATCACATGAAAACCATTAACCTGGGCTTTGTTCAGTATTAGAACAAATAAACAATGTTTGGAGACTATGTCTACCACCTATCTGCCATTTGTTGTACTGTAGTGGCTTGAATGTTGCTATGATGCTGAAAGCTATGCCATCGGTGTTTCAAATGTCCGCAGGGGGATCCATGGTGGACAGGTTTCAGCAGAGCTTCCAGACTAAGACAGACTAGCAAGAAAGGCTTACTTCCAAGAATTAGTCAGTGCAAACCCTATGGATCACAACAGAATATTGTTGGATAGTACTGGAAGATGAGCCGCTAGACTGGAACCAACCAAAAACCAAGCTCACTGCTGTCAAGTCAGATCCGAATCACAGCAACCCCTCCTTGAGTTTCCCAGATGGTATCACTATGGAAGTAGATTGCCCAATCTTCCTTCCAAGGAGTGGCTGGTGGGTTTGAACCACCAGCCTTCTGGTTAGCAGTCAAGTGCCTTAGGCACTATGCCACCAGAGCTCTTCCTAGATCAGAAAGCATTCAAAATACAGAATGGCTGCAACAATGGACTCAAGCACACCAACAATGGTCAAGTTGGCTCAGGACTGGGGAACGGTTCATTCTGTAACATGGGGTCATCCATGAGTTGGAGCCAACTTGATGGCAACTAATGGTAACAAAAATCTAAAACGTGCCACCAAAATGTGTCTGATGTCAGAGCTGTTACCCCAAACTGCACTCCTGGGATACCTGTACGCCCGTGAATCTGGACCAATGAGCTACTAGCAAATTCAATCATAGGCTCAGCAATGCCCTGATCATGCCCCATGTACACACACACATACACGTGCACATGCACACACAAAAAGCACACGTGCACACACATTCTCTCATACAAATATACACATATGTGCACACTGATGTATACATAAAACACATGCACACACGTTTATACTCGTTCCCCCACACAAATATACACACATGTGCACACACATGCTCTCACACAGATACATACGCACATGCACAAGCACACACATGTAAACATACTCTTACATACCACATAGTTGTTTGTTTATGCCAGTGATCAAAACTCAGGCAACCCAACTACAGTAGCAGTGGATGTTGCCTTTTATAAGTGACATAGATCATTTGGAAAAACAGGGTTAGCTGTGGTTAGTGACTAATAATAAGATAAAAAAGGTTAGATCCATCACACAAATGTGTGAGTAGGAGAGAACGTGACACGGGAATACAATTTGATCGAGTTACGCAAAATGACAGGTGGGGGATTCTGAAAGCAGTGGCCTGCTCCTGGGCCTCAGCTACTGTGGAGCTCTGTGTCCTGAGACCCCCTCCCCTCACCCACCAAGGCCTGGGCATGCCGGGGATGGCACTGGGCTTATCCTCTGCACTCTCCCTATGCCCCGGCCTCTGGAGGAAAGATGTCGTGGGTGGGGGGGACAGAGTCGTTGTCCTGTCCTAGACACTGGCACACTGAGGACACAGCATTTCTGTTGTCTCGGTGTGCTGGGGGCTCCTGGTCACCCTTTCCAGCCTTTCTCAGAGATGGGAGGGAGGGAGGGAGGGAGTCGCAGGACAATGGACTGCTGGAGGAACGGCTTAGCTGCTGGAGATGGCCAGAGGGCAATCTGTTTTGACATTATTTTCAAACAATTGGAACTTCTAGGAAAGAATTATTTTCTGTCTCCTTTGGGTATCTTACAGATACCTCAAGTTTAACATGTTCAAATTGAGCTCCCAGCATCCCGGCTGCTCCTCTCTCGGCCCTCCGTGCCTGAGTTAAAGGCCGCTTCCTCCTTGGAGGTGCTCAGGCCCCAAACACTGACACTGCCCTTTCTCTCACCATGACGCCTAGCCTGTGGGCACCTCTCGTGCAGCATCAAGCCCCTCTCCCACCCTGGCTGCTCCCCCTCACTCCTAACTGGTCTCCCCACCCTTGTCCCCTTCTCCCTGCCATTCTATGCCCAGTACTGGGGGCCTGTTCAAACATCATCAGATTGCAGGAACTCTCTGCTTTCTGCAAAATTTTTCTACTCACTAAAAACCGCTCTAAAAAACAGACTATTAAAAAAAAAAATGTCGCCAGAGCATGCCACCCCTGCTTAGCAACCCTCCACCCCGTGGCTCCGTGTCTTTCAGGGGAAAAGCCAAAATCCTTCCTAGGTTCTCCACCCCCTATTTTCTCTCAGATCTCAACTCTGAGGATGCCCTTGACTCCACACTCTGCCCCACTCTCCGTGGCCTCCTCCCTGTGCGTCGAACATGCCGACACTGTTCCCTCAGCCTGGACTATTCCTTACCCAGGGAGCTGTCCAGTTTGCCCGTGAGCCCTTCCCTAACCCCCCATCTAATGTGATGCCATGTGATTCCTTCAGGGTTCACACGGAGGTACAGAGCATTGTCTGTGTGTAATTGTTGGTGGCGGTGCTGTCGAGGTGGCCCCTGACTCATGGAGACCCATGCACAACAGAACAAAACCATGTCCGGTCCTACGCTGTATCCCCATGATCAGCTGGGGGTCAGACTGCTGTGATTCACAGGGCTGCCACTGGCGTAGTTTTCAAGTAGATTGCCAGGCCTTTCTTCCTTATCCTTCTTTGTCTAGAAGCTCTGCTCAACCCTGTTCGGCACCATAGCAACACACAAGCTTCCACTGAGGTGAGGTGCATTGGCTGGGAATCAATCCTGGGTCTCCCACATAGAAGGTGAGAATTTTACCACTGAACCACCACTGCCCCCCTCTCAGCATCCATCTAAATCATTAACTTCCTCCAGTATGTCTGTTCCTCCTTCCTTGAAGCATGTTTTCCTTCTTGGCCCATACCACTACATTACATGCAATCTATTTTGATTATCAGTCTTGTTTGTGGGTGTCTCCTAGCCAAGCTTCACGAATGCAGGGATTTTTGTTTGTATTCCCAGCATCTAAAACTGTGCCAGGGGCATAGTAGGTGCTCAATAAATGCTCCTGGCCCTGAGCTTACAGCAGAAGGGCACCAGGTGGGCCTGCTGCCCCGTGACGGGCTGGGCCCTTGGCCCCACTCACCGGCAGCTGCTTCTCCAGGCAGATGCTGAACGTCTTGGTGTGGTTGGGTTTCAGCTTCTTCAGGGGCACGCGTGTCTCCCCGATGAACTCATTGTGGCGGAATTTGTCCTCATCACACACGGAGATCCTGGGGGGCAAGGGCAATGGCTGGCACCCCAGACGCATTGGGGTCTCGTGTCTGGCTTGCAAACTCAGTGCAGATTTGCAGTCAGATGGTGGAAGGGGTGTGTGAGCAGCACCAGCCCCTGTGGCGAAGGCTGGGACGGGGGTGCAGAGGGAGGGGAGCAGGCGCCTGGGGCCCTCACCCACCGCAGGGTTTTGCGGATCATGTCTTCGTCCGTGATGCCGTAGTAAGTGAGGGTCTCATTCCATGTGGGGTTCAGAGTGTTCCGGAGAGTTTTTGTTCTGAGCTTATTTGCCTGGAAACAGAAAAATAATCCCATGAGCATTGGCGAGTGTGACAGGCAGAATACAGCCCCTAAATATGTCCCCGTTCTAACCTCCAGAACCTGTGAGTATGTTGTGTTACAAGACAAAGGGGAATTACAGTTGCAGGTGGGATTAGGGTTGCTAACCAGCTGACTTTAAAACTGGGAGATCCTCTTGGATCATCTGGGTGGGTCCAATGTAATCACAAAACCAGTTGTCAATGCGTCAACTCTGACTCTGGCAACTCCATGTGTCAGAGGAGACTGTGTTCCGTAAGGCTTCCAATGGCTGAGTTTTTGGAAGGAGATCACCACGCCTTTCTTCTGAGGTGCGTCTGGGTGGATCTGAACCACCAACCTTTCAGTCAGCAGCCAAGCATGTTAACCGTCTGAACCACCCAAGGACTCCTAATACAATCACAAAGGTCCTTAAAGGAAGATGGAAACAACAAAAGAGAGTCAGCAGGAGATGTGACTATGGAGGAATGGTCAGAGAGACACAGTGATACTGGCTTTGAAGATGGAAGAAGGGACCACAAGCCAAGGGATGTGGGCAGCCTCTAGGAGCAGAAAAACAAAAAGACAAGGAAATGAATTCTTCCATTATGGTCTCCAGAAGGAACGAAGCCCTGCCAACACCTTGATTTTAGCCCGATGAGATCTGTTCTGGTTACCTAGTGCTACTCTGACAAGATATATACCACAAATGGGGTGGCCTTAACAAACAGGAGTTTATTCTCTCACAATTTGGAGGCTTTAAGTCCAAGTTCAAAGTGCCAGGCTCTAGGGGCTGGGTGAAAGCCCCTCAACCTTGGGGTCCAGCTCTGTCTCCTGCTCCCAGTCCACTAGAGCTAGAGGCATTTCTTCACTCAGACAGCCGCTGGCTGCTGAGGCTGAGAAGCCCCAAGGTTGACAAAGAAAAAGGCACAGTCCCAATGTTACCAAACCACTTGGCAGGCCATTAACTTAAGTCCATTGTAAGGCCCAAGTTTGGCAGAGCATAGCAGGCTGCTGAGCAACAACATGGCTACATGCAGGGTCCAAGCGTGCCATAGGCTAGAGACCATTCCCAAAGCTTCTCCTTAAATATAGGAGGCAGACCACGTCCCAAAGGCAGCTACTCAGCTGCTTGTGGTAGATCCCACCATAGAGTTGATTGCCAGTCTCATCGTGGGGAACAACTACCACCAGCTGCCCAGCCACTCAACCAGGCCCAGCCAAGTTGACACAAAAACATAACCATCATAAGACCTGTGTCAGATTTCTAACCAACAAAACTTTAAGATAATACATTTGCATTGTTTTAAGCTACTGAATTCCTGGTAATTTTTGTTACAGCAGTAACAGAAAACTCATTCAAAGAGGATCCTGCCTCTAGGGAACTCCTAGGGATTCTGCACGAGGCTGTGAGACCCAGCTGTGGGCAGTATGAGCGTGGAACCGGGTTCTCTCCCTCCCAGAGCGCTTGCATGCCCACATCTGCCTGCTTTTGCTGCCCCCTTACTGGGGATGCCATCCTCTCCTAGGGGCAGACTTGTTGGGTGGCCATCCAAGCTGGAAGATTGTCTCCAGTCCTGCCTCTGTACATCTTGCTTCTTACACAGTTTACCTGTCTTGTCCCATCAGACTCTGAGCTCCATGACTGACTCATTTTGGGATGTGTCACACGTGGCCCAGGCTGTGAGGTCAGAGAGTTCTGGGTGTGAATCCCAGGTTACACTACTGACACAATGTGGAGCCCAGTAGGGTCCCTACTGTAAAGAGCACCCTAAGACCTCTTTCACTGTACTGTTTGCAGTACAACCTAGTTTATAAGGAGCTCTGGTGGTGCAGTGGTTAAGGTTTCGGCTGCTAACCAAAAGGTCGGTGGTTCAAACCCACCCACAGAAGAAAGATGAGTTAATCTGCTTTTGTAAAGATTTACAGCCTTGAGTCGGAATTGGCTTGATGGCAGTGAGACTGAGTTGAGTTTATAAGGACACTGTGGTTGGGTACCATTGAGTCTATGTCTTAACTCCTGGTTCATGTGCTCAAAGTGACCTTGTTTGGAAACAAGGTCTTTAAAGGTGCTACTAATTAACATGAGGTCACACTGCAGCAGGGTGGGTCCTAATCCAAATGACTGTGTCCTGATAAAAGAGGACAAGAGGCGAAGAGTGAAGATGGCCATGTGAAGATGAAAGCAGAAATGGGAGTGATGCGTCTACACGCCAAGGAATGCCAAAAGCTAGGAGACAGGCAAAGAAGGATCTTCCCCGAGAGCCTCTGGGGAGAACATGGCCTGCTGCACCCTGCATCAGGCCTCCCAGCCTCCAGGCCTGTGAGACGATGAATTTCTGTGGCAGTAAGCCAATCACTTTGTGGGACTCTATTATGGCAGCCCCAGGAAACTAGTACAGTGTGCCTGCCTAGGGTGAGTCCCACCGTCTGTGGACCCTGAGCAAGGCCAAGGGTATGGTGGCTGTCCCGTGCCCTGCAGCAATCACCATGGCCAGCCCTGCCATGGAATGAGGCTTCTACCTTGGAAAGGGGTACGCTTATGTCCCCCTAACTCCAAATCAGGGAGGTAGAGTTGCCCCATTTTACAGATGAGGACTCCATGTTTTTTTGGGAGGCTCATGGTCATTGAGCTCTTGAGTTGGGAGCATTCCTGTTCACACTTGCCTGCAGCCCTCACTGCCCTGGGTCCCATGAGGACGTTGTGGTCTGGGGTGGTGACCCACTTCCCCAGTTGCAGGTGGTGGGACATCTGCCAGACAGGGAGCAATCACCCCTTCTGGAACAGCCCTCCTGGACCACTGGGGTGTTCAGCCCCACACCCTGGTCTAGGAGAGCCTGGGCTCCTAAGTCATCTCAGCCTCCAGCAGCTGGGTCAGACAGCTCAGGGCGGTCATCAGAAGCAGCTGGCAGGTGGTCCTCCCAGGAGGGAGCTCCCATTGCTGACTCTCCTCCTCCCAGGCAGGACCTCCTCAGATCCTGGTTTCTGAGGGGCTGGGACAGGAACCCCACCCCCAGGCTCTGCTGCTCACTCTGGCTGTGTCCTGGGTCTCTCCATCGCCCCTATGGGTTCTACTCTCCACTTGGAAACAAAGTTGCTAGACTATAGTCATACTTCTTATGGGTCCCAGGACTGGGGCAAGACATAATTATGAGAAGATAATGGTGACCCCCCGACCCATGTAATTAGAATAAAGCAACTGTAAGCTGCAAGATGGAGGTCCAATCAAGTTCTGATTTCCCAGTGCCGACCTGACGTTCCACACTTGACCTCAGCCAAGAGGCCGGGAAGTGACAACCTTGATGTTCTTATTCAATACCAAGTTTTTTCTAAAACAAAACAAAACATTGTTTCTCTCTCTCCTTTCCCAGCTGCACCTTTCGTTGGTACCTCAAGCATGGGCTTGGTCTGCCTATTGGGTCAACTGGCATGTAAACCAAGGTTCTGTGGCCAAATAAATTAGGCAGAGGCTGCCCACCAGCTGTTCTTAAAGGAAGATGGACTCGCCCTGTGGAGAGTCACAGAGCAGCCCGTCAACTCATTAAAGGCTCTGATAAGTCAAAACTTGTCTAATAATGTTTCCCGATTTATATGATCACATACCACACACATACACACCCATGGCCACTGAGTTGATTCTGACTCATAGTGACCCTATAGGACAGACTAGAACTGCCCCCGTGGCATTTCCAAGGCTGTAAATATTTATGGAAGCAGATAGTTTCCAGGAGTCTTGCTTATAAGGACATTGTTGTTGTTGTTAGGAGCTCTGGTGGCGTAGTGCCTAAGGCATTTGACTGCTAAGCAGAAGGCTGGTGGTTCAAACCCACCAGCCACATCTTGGAAGGATGGTTGGGCAATCTACTTCCATAGAGATGCCACCTTGGAAACCCAAGGAGGGGTTGCTATGAGTCTAATCGACTTGATGGCAGTGAGTTGTTGTTGTTAGGTGTCATCAAGTTTATTGTGACTCCTTGCGACTGCATGTCACAGAGCAGAACGTCCCCATAGAGCTTTCTAGGCTGTAATCTGGACAGGAGCAGATTTCCAGGTCTTTTCTGCCATGCAGCAGGTGGTGGGTTTGAACCACCAACTTTTTTGTTAGCAGCCGAGCATTAACCACTGCTCCCCCCAGGACTCCTTATATGACCACAGAACCTTTTTTTTTGTACATAATACTAACATCCAACTGTGAATGCTGCCTATAAAACAGTCAACTGGAAATTCTTGGGGGGGGGGGTCCCCCAGCTCAGCAGCAGCCAGGTCCCTGGGTGGCCTGGTGGGTGTGATGTTGACTGAGTGCTCTCGGTGGAGCCGAAGCCTTCTAAGGAGGGTGGGGGAGCTACAGACCTCCCTGGGGGTCCTCAAGGCTAGCCCAGGCCCCAGACCCAGTAGCGGACAGAGTTGGTTGGAGGGCCTGGGGTGGAACCCCCTCACCTTACTGGCTCCTGGCAGCAGGTGCAGCTTGACGTAGGGGTCCGCCAACCCATTGTGGTCCATCGGCTTTAGACCCTGAGCGGAGAAGAACAGTGGAGGGTATGAAGTGGAGCCTGGAGGCACAGGGCAGCCGGGACCCACAGGAGCCTGGCTCAGCAGATGACGTCCTGGTTCCCTGGGCCTCCTGGCTGGTGCATCCACGGCCCTCTTCACAGCTGCCCCTAACCCCATATTCTCAGAACAAGGGAGTGGGGGTGGCTCAATGCAGGTGCACTTTCCCACTGTCACCCCAAACACCCTAGCCTAGGGCAGCCTCTTCACGGCCAGCCTTGCTCTTCTGTTCTCCTTATCAGCAATGCAGGGGACTCACCTTCCTTCAAATGAAGTTCCACTACCCTGCTTTCCAGCCTCTAGGCAAGCCTTTCCTCTTATGGACTCTACTCCCCACACCCCAGCCTCCAGTCTCCTCCGTGGACACTTGTGTCACTGACCCCAAATCCACGTGACCCTCCATCCTCTCATCCACACACTTCTCTTTGAGCCACTCGTGGATGTATCATGTTCTGTGAGACTGTCAGGGAGTGCATTCTGTCTGGGTCTGCCACAGCTCCCAGCCAGCCCTCGTCCAAGGTCACACAGCTGGCCAGCCACAGAGGGTCCCTCCACAAGATGGCACCCCTGACTAACTTTGCTCTCAGGTCCTTTTGAAAAAGCAGTCTAATGTGTACAGCCAGGGAACAAGGGAAACCGAAAACAGCTAAGGGCTTAGTCAACCTCATGCAGGCTCTTGCTTCTGAAAATGGCATTTTTTTCCTTTGGGGACAGTACCCAGGGATGCAGGGAGGCAGCTGTGGGCTGTGAGGGGCCCAGTGGCAGCCCCATGAGATTATTCAAAGATGAACTACAAGTTTTCTTCACAAGCCAGATGGGGGTGACAGAGCTCAGCTGCTGTGAGCAGCCTGCCACCAAGGCAGCCCAAGCCCCTTTTCCTGGGGCCCCACTCGACCTGGCTTTGGAGGAGCACCCATTGGGGGCTGATAGTTGAGAAGGGGGCTCCCACTTCTCCACAAATGAAGTTGTTGGAGAAAGGGTACAGGTTTTAGAGTCAGACTGGGCTGGGTTCAGAGCTCAGCTTCAGCACTTATTAGTTGATAAGTGGATGAGTCACTTTGCCCCCTGAGCCTCAGTTTTATCACCTATGAAAAACCCAAAACCCACTTCTGACTCACTGCAACCCCCACTGGGTTTCCAAGGTGGTAAATCTTTACAGAAGTGGTTTGCCCATCTTCCTTCCATGGATTTGAACCGCCAACCTTCTGGTTAGCAGTCAAATGCCTTAGGCATTGCTTTCCAGGTTTGGCATGACCATTAGGGCTTGGCAGTCAGAGCATGGGCTCCCCTTCCTTGGGAGACGCCAGAGAAGCAGATGAGGGCTGAGTCTGGGACATTCTTGATGTGCCCAGAGCTCTTGGGGCTCCATCTCTGCTAGGAGCCCCCGTGTGCTCGCGGCAGTGAAGCACTCTCTACTCTCGGTCCCAATCCTCCTCCCAGCTTCTCCTTTCCCCAAAGCATCCAAAAGGCAGTTATCCTGGAGTTCTGGGGCAGCTGCGGGCATGGCATGGCCTGATCTGAGCAGGGCTGCCAGGAGCAGGAGATGTCTATGAAGCCTGATGTTTTGTTTTACAATTCCTGTAAATTTGCCCATGCTTATTGTAGCTAAAAGTGTTTTCATTGGATCCCATTTCTTTTCATTTGCAAATCTTTGCACCACCCGCCATGTTTACCCTGTGGCTCTGCCAGTCCCAGCTCTGCCTCTGAGATGCTCCTGGGAGCTGGGGTGGGGCAGAGGGGAAGCTGCAAAACTGCGATGGGGGTGATGCCCTCTCTGCCCTCCTAGAAGCCCAGACTGTGATATTCTCCCACCATCACCATCCCAACCACTGATCCCCAAGCGCCCTGGGTGGCCACACTCTCAGCCAGAAACAGAAGGGGCCAGAGGGCATTGCCTGGAGGCCAAGTCACCGGTTCCGCCTCCCTCCCCACTTCTGTGCCCAGATGAGCAACTCATTACCCCCAACCCAGGCTCTTCACCCACAGCCTGACCCAGCTTCGGTGCGGGTTGTGTCCCGTGGAAAGAGAGGGGAGGACAGGAAGCTGTTTTCTGGTCAAAGGGCTGCTGGGGGGGCGCTGTCCCTCACACAGATCCACCCCCCCAGCTTATTGTGTCTGCAAAAGCAGATCCCACGGTTTACGGGCTGCCTCCTATGGGAGGGGCTGCTCTAGCCTGGAGAGGAGAGCCTTCCACCCAAACCCGGCCCCTCCTCTGCCCTCCCGGCCTCTGCTGCTGGGGTGGGGTTGGGGGGAGCATTGAGTAGTGGAGCTTTCAGGATGTCAAATGCGAGGCTGCATATCTCCTAGGACTGGCTGTTCCGTTGGAGTTTTCTAATCCCTCTTATGGATTTGGGAGCTCTGGTGGCGTAGCGCCTAAGGCATTTGACTGCTAACCAGAAGGCTGGCGGTTCAAACCCACCAGCTACTCTTCGGAAGGAAGACTGTGCAATCTACTTTCCTAGTGATACTGCCTTGGAAACCCAAGGAGTGGTTACTATGAGTCAGAATAAACTCCATGGCATTGAGTTTGTTTCTTTTTCCCTTATGGATTTGAGTGTCTGTGTGTCCACCTGCACGTGGGTGTGCGTGGTGGAACCCATGTGAAATTGTTCATTACAGATTAGTAAATACATGTAAGTAAGCCAGTGCTTACCTTGCTTACTGGGTAATCCATGCCTGACACATCCCTCGCTTACCCTACCTCACCCGCAGCTTACTGCTGCCCCCCCTCCCTGCAGGACCGGATTTAAGCAGAGTGAAATGGAGAATGGAAGATCACCATGGCCTGGGGTCCTCCACCCCCAACTTCCAGTGCCTACAGTGACACACCCATAGTGTGCACACACACAAACACGAACATGTGCAGGCATACACAGACACACAGATATGCACACACATGTGCCTATATACCCCACAACCCCTGCACCCCAGCCTAGGTAGGGAAGGTGAGGCACACAGCATAAGGAGGGGCCTGGTGTCTGGAGTGAGAAGGGAGGGGGTGGGCTCTGGCCAGAGTGACCTGCCAGCCAGTACCCATCCCCAGTCCCCCGAGCCTGGAAGCTGGGTTGAAGGAGAAAGCTGGGTTGAGGGAGAAAATGGGGTCTGCCCGGGCCCTGCAGCCTGGCCTCCGCCTTGGCACAGCCACCAGATCCTCAGCTGGGTACCTAGGGCAGATCCGGAGCCCCCGGAGGAAGGATGGGCCCTCTGGGCAAGGCCTGTGGAGCTCCCAGAGAAGCGGGCTTGACTGGGGACTGAGTGCAGGCCTCCTGGTGCTCAACCCCGGCTTGGCCCACCGTGGACAGGGCTCACGGCTGCCCACGCAGCCCAGCTCCACTGGCTAGGTGGCGCTGGGGGCACAGCCTGGGTTGGCACCAGGTGGCCTGTTCCTCTGGTTGGGCACAGAGCCCTGGGCAGCACCTCAGACTGGAGGGTGGGAGAGAGGGAGGGAGGGCAGGACAGAGGGAAGCCTGCAGGTTGGGAGAGGCTGGGGGTGAGGTCTGGGCCCAGTTGCTCTGCAAGAAGCAGCACCTTGATCTGAGTTGCACTGGCTCAGGCCCTCTCAGCTCCACACACACACTTTGTCCGGAAAGTTCTACCAGGCCAAGCAGACTGCCCTTACCTTGCGAGAGAACATCAACTTTGGCACCTTCCTCCCAGAGGGAGCCATGTGGTGGGGGGACGAAGGGAACAGCATGGTTGAGAACAGAGAGCTGACAATGTTGGCCCAGGGGCAGGGCCACAGGGTGGGGGTGGGACAGGGCAGACGCCCACAGCTCCCAGGAACACTGGCTGAAAGCTTGGGCAGTCCAGGAAGCAGGGGCTGAGGGTCTTTGGGGCTCAGGCCCTGATACTCCAGATTCATCCCAGACAGCAGTGGGGTCAGCGACCAGAGCAGGACAATGGTGCCCACCCACCCCCCGTGGGGAGTCCAGAAGGCCCAGGTGCTAGGAACTTTAGGGGCTCAGAGGCATCCACCCCTCCCTCAGGGCCTGTAGGACCCACATACCACCTCCACGTCCTTTCTCTTCCTTCCTACCCCTCAGCTCCTTCCCAGGCTACACCCTGGAAGCCCCGCCCCAGCCTTCATTCTCTCACTCTCTTCTTGGTTCTTTCCTGGCTTCTAGTCTTTCCCCCACATGCCTCGCTGCGTAGGGCTTCTTGGTGGGTGGGCAGCTGAGATGGTTTAGGTAAGAAGTCCTTTCCTGCCCTGTACCCCCTCCCCCCTCAGAACTACAAAGTAGAGATGGGGGACAGCTGAGAAGTGAACCCTGGCCGCCCCTCATCTGCCCTCTGCCCCCAGACCTCCAACCTCTGACCTTCAAGACCCTGGACTGCGAGATGGGGGGGCGGAGGGCCTACCTTGGCCTTGCTGATGGTGCAGTGGAGGGCGTTGTTCTCCTGGTCATAGAGCAGGCTGAAGTCCAGTGTGCCCAGGGCAGCTGTGGGCAGACAGGAGCACGGGTCATTGCCACATCACGAAGGCGGCTCACCCTGGAGCAGGTGCAGTCCCCAAAGCGGTGGCTGTCGCCAGGTGAGCCTCTAATGTGCACCAAGTACTCCTCCTCCTTGCTCTCCAACCACTCAACCCGGGAAGCAAGCAGCAGTCTTCCACTTCCCAGATGAGCAGCTGAGGCTCACAGACGGTAGGCTGGTCATCCACAGTTATGGGGATGGTAGCCCAAGACTTGCATTCAGGTGGTGAGCCCCAGAACTGGCCCCTACCCCTGCACGGCTCGTGGCTGGTTCAGTGTGGTGTCTACATGTGCGAGGCTGCGAGGCACTAAGCCAAAGGTAGTGCCTTGTGTAACTATCAGTCTGGGCTCTAAGCCTCAGTTTCTCTTGCCTGTTAAATGCCACAAGGATTTCGTGAGAAGTCAGAAGCCACAGGCACTGGCCAGGCTAGCTGGCTGATCCACTTGTCTACTCCCTAGGTAGCATGTGGGAGTATGGCTTCCCAGTCTCTCCAGTCCTTTGGGGACCCTGGGAAGGCACTAGGAGCCAGCTGGGTCCTCACACTGCTGTTCCCAAGCCTCTCAGAGGCAGCGGGCGATTCCCAAGGGCCGGGCAGAGGGTCCAGAAATGACGGGGTGCAGCTGCTCCCCTCAGTGGTGCTCACACCCAGTAGCTGTGGCTTTCTACATGTTTGGTTCCCAGCGGGGAGGTCAGGGGTGTGGACTAGGGGATAGTTCAGGGGCCATCTCCAGACAGCAAGAGGCACATTCACAGGATGTCTTCAGAAGCCCAGGTCCTGCTTCCAGGCTGCTGGGCTAGTCAACTGTCAGCTCATTCATTCATTCATTCATTCACTCAACATTTACTAAGTGTTTATAATATGCCAGACTCTAGGGATAAAAATATCAATAAAATAGGAAAGGAAAGCACAGCCTCATAGGAGGAACGATGAAAAGAATTCACCACAACAGCGTCTGGTGAGCCAGGAGCTATGGGGGTCCAAAGAGGGACGCCTGACCTTAATGTGAACTGGGGCAGTCAAGGTAGGCTTCCTGGAGGAGATGATGTTTCTCTTGAGCCACGAAGGATGAGTAGGAGTTGGCCAGAGGCACAGTGGAGCTGAAAGATGGGGCAATGCAGCCACAAGTGACCGGCAGGTTTGGGGGCTCAGTGGTGGGGGCTGGGCTGAGTGCTGAGGGGAGGGCAGGGCCAGATTTGAAGGACTCTGTTTATTAGACAAGGGGCTCCCAACATGGGTCCAGATCAAACTATGGCCCTGGGGCCAAATCCCACCACACCCATTCATTTACAGAATTTCAACGGGCGGCTTTCCCATGGCAAAGGCAGAGCTAGGTAGATGCAGCAGTTCATCTACTGTAGCCGGCAAAGCCAAAAATATTCACAGAAAAAGTGCAGATCCTGGTCTGGTGCACAGGCCCAGGCATGACAAAGCTTCTCTGGTCTGCAGAGAAATGGACATGTTAAGTGTCACGTATACGACGAATCATGCTGCTCCTGCTCCCTAACTTCCAGGCCCACAGTCTGATTTCCCCGTCCCGAACTGCAGCTCGGTGGAGGCGGCAAGATCTGCTCTCTGACTACTCCCCAGGTTCAAATCGGGGCTCTGCATGTCCTTGATGTATGATCTTTGACAGCTTACCTAACTGCTTGTGCCTCAGTTTCCTCATCTGTAAAATGGAGACAACAAGAGGGCCCACCTCACAGCACAGTGGGGTCCCTGGATGGTTCAAATGGCTCCTGCGCTTGGCTGCTAACTGAAAGGCTGGTGGTTCAAGTCCCCCCAGAGGTAGAAAATCTACTTTTGAAAAATCAGCCACGGAAGACCCTATGGAGCACAGGTCTACCCTGACTCACTCGGAGTCAGAATGGACTCAGTGACAACTGGTTTTCACAGCCTTGTGCTTTAACACAATGCCTGAGGTAAAGAAATCGCTCCGAAGATAATTACAGAAGCAGCAGATCCATTTAAGTGATTTTTCTAGACAACTGTACTTGGCCCTCTGAGATCCACTCTGGAATGAAATTGTTTTAAACTGGATTGCTCCCCTCCCTACCTTTGTGACTAGAATATACAATCAGTCACTTAGGCTCTTCTGAAGAACCTGAGTCACTGCTGTGACTGTGATGGCTGTCCACATGTCATAGTCATAGCCCGGACGCTGAGGGTATGTGAGACCACCCCTCCACCAGTGGTCCCAGGCGGCCACTCTCTGAGATTTTCTTTGTATTCCTGCCTCCTCCTTTGTCATCAGCCTGGACTCCTTAGGGTACTTGCCTCTGGTAGCCCAAGCAGCATGCCCTCCTCTTCAGCAGTTGGCTTCTCCTTCTAAGAAACTAGGTGAGAAGACATGTTAGAACTGTGTCCAAACTATAAGTCAATAGGCTTTGAGTGGTGCTTTAGTGATAACTGTATTCGGCCCTTTGCTGTCTATATTTTCGCTTCTTTCTATGCAGGTGGGCAGGTACGAATGCTAAAAGTGAGGTATATATGATCATTCCTGGAACAACCAACACTGCCACGGGCCCAAGACTGACTAGTTCCTGTTTTTGTGATGTTGTTGTTGTTAGGTGCCATCTAGTCGTCTCTGACTCGTAGCAACCCTATGTACAGCAGAATGGCCCAGTCCTGGGCCAACTCCACGATCCTTGCTATACCTGAGCCCATCATTGTAGCCACTGCGTCAGTCCATCTTCTTGAGGGCCTTCCCCTTCTTCATTGACCCTCCACTCTACATCATTTGACTTCTTGATTACTGCCTCCATGGAGATTGATTGTGGATCCAAATAGAATGAAATCCTTGACAACTTCAATCTTTTCTCCATCTATCATGAGGTTGCTTATTGGTCAAGTAGTGAGGACTTTTATTTTCTTTATGTTGAGGTGTAATCCATACCGAAGACTTTGATCTTCATCAGTAAGTGCTCAAGTCTTCTTCACTTTCAGCAAACAAGGTTGGGTCGTCTGCGTATCGCAGTCTGTTAATGAGTTTTCCTCCAATCCTGATGCTGTGTTCTTCATACAATCCAGTTTCTTGCATTATTTGCTCAGCGTACAGACTGAGTAAGCACACCTTTACTGATTGAAACCATGCAGTATTCCCTTGTTCTGTTCAAATGAGTGCCTTTTGGTCTATATGCAGGTTCTGCATGAGAACAACAAAGTGTTCTGGAATTCCTGCTCTTTGTAATGTTATCCATAATTTGTTATGATCCACACAGTTGAGCGTCTCTGCACAGTCAATAAAACACATGTAAACATTATTCTGCTATTTCTCTACTTTCTCATGAATCTGACTTGAATATCTGGCAATGTTAGCTTTACATGACAGTAAACAACTTTGCTATTCAGTTTCAGGCCTGTCCATGGCTTATTCTCCCCCAGGCACACCTCATCCACCCCCATGGGACCAGTGAAGATTAGATGCTCAATCCAAGATGTCTGGTCTGTTCACACCAACTTGTTCTCCAACTGCTCACAAGAGCAGGGACTGGATGTGATGCTAGTGTATAAAAATGCACACTCTGCCTGTTTTTCCATCTCAGAGTAGGAAAAGCCAGTGAGATGAAGGCGCTGCCTGCTTCCTTATGGGAAACCCAGTTCCAAGGAGGTGAGTAGAACCCCTTCCACTGGCTCTACAGATCTCAGCTTACGAGCGCTTGGATCAGGTAAGCTGAAAAAGGCACCTGTGACCCCTTCCTGAGAGGTAACATGCCCACTGCTTTGCCAGGATGTGATTAATAAATTTCTTTGAATTCTAGTGTAAGTTTTACAAGCAATGTTGCTGTAGCAGTTGCTGTCAAGTTAGCTCCAAGTCACGGCAACCCTGTGTACAACAGGAAGAAACACCGCCTGGCCATGCACCACCTTCACAACCACTGGTACGCTCGACTCCACTGTGGAGACCACTGTGTATTCTGAGTGCCTTCCAACCTAGGGGCTCATCTTCCAGAACTGTGTCAGACAACATTCTGTTGTGATCCATAAAGTTTTCATTGGCTTTTTTTTTTTTTTACTGTTATTGATTTTTCTTAAATTTTATTGTGATTTGGATGAAAGTTTACAGAGCAAATTCATCTTCCATATAGCACCTCACATACACTTTGTCTCATGACATTGACTGCAATCTCCCACAATGCAACAGCTCCCCTCCCACTTCCTCCCCTAACCACCTCTTCCTTGTGTCCTTCCCTCCCACACACTCCTGCCCCCAGAGCTGTCTCCCTGTACATACAGCTCTTCTATTCTCCTGTGATTGATCTCTCCAAGGAGTGTATTTGTTGTTGTTGTTGTTATGTGCCGTCGAGTCAGCCCTGACTCATAGCGACCCCTCCTTGGGTTTCCGAGGCAGTATCACTACGGAAGTAGGATTGCCCAATCTTCCTTCCGGGGAGTGGCTGGTGGGTTTTTACCTAATGCAAATGTTCAGCTCATGTGCTTGTCTTTTGTTTGGCAGGAAGCCACAGGAGTGGGTTCAGTTCCAGACCTGAAGGGCAGCTAGGGGCCATAGTCTCAGTGGTTCCACCAGGCTCTATCAGACCAGCAAACCTGATCCTTTTTTTTTGTCCACACTGTTCTCCCTCTCTATCCAGGATCTCCTACATAGATCCCCCTCCAAGCGATTGACAGTGGTAGCCCGGCATCACCTAGTTCTTCTGGTCTCATAGTCGTATAGACTGAGGACCACATGGTGTACCAGTCACTAGGACTAATTGTTTATATGTGTCTTTGGTTTTCTTCATTATTCTTTGCTCTGGACGAGGAGAGACCCATTGTTGTATCTAGATGGTGGCCTGCAAGCTTTTCAGATCCCAGTCACTACTCGTCATTGGCTGATTTTTGGAAGTAGATCACCAGGCCTTTCTTCCGAGTCTGTCTTAGTCTGGAAGCTCTGCTGAAACCCGTCCCCCATGGGTGACCCTGCTGGGATTTGAAATACCAATGTTCTATCTTCCAGCATCACAGCAA